TGCGGGCACACACAGCAATGCTCTGCAGATTGGCCTCTGCCAGGCTTGCGCTCTATCGTCCGTCTGTCCGCGGGGTACCCAGGGGGCCCCATTTGCCCGAGGGAACAGAGGTTCACCTTCACAGCACCAGACTCCAACAAATTTGGTTCCCAAGTGAAACCTGCAGTCCGGTAAAGTTTCCACAGGGGAGACCCGCTTCGGCAGCCAGGCACCCCTCGGCCCCAGTCCAGCACCCGGCACAGCGAACAGCAAGGAGTCCTGTCGTAAACTGTCCCCTGCCAGACCTGAGCTCCCTCTTTGTGGGCCAGGCACTGCACTCTGGGCTACAGGGCATTTGGGAACTATGAGTACAGGTGGAATTTGTTCTACTGAAGAAATACTGGACATCCACTAACAAACGGTCTCCGACCCCCTCAGCATATTCCCTTTCCCCCACTAGATATCCACCCCACGAACAGCTCTGCCTGCTCCTGCTGAGCATTCAGCACAGCCCCTGGTCCTCCTGAACAGGCAGGGAATACAGCTGTGCTCCCTGCTGTCACCAAGGCAGGGCAGTGAAAGCCTAACAGTTGCCTAAACAACAGATTTTTTTTCTCTTTCTTAAAAACAAACAAAAAAACCCCGAAAAAAAACCCCTCACTTCCAAAGAAAGTTTCCCTCCTGGGAAAGGCCGAGGGAAAAGAGACGGGCAGCGTCAATCTGAGAGGCAGAAAGAAGCAGGACATCAGCTGCTCCCACTGCCAGGAGGCAAGGCACGTGCTCCAGTGCTGCGACATGGCCCATGGGCCGGTCCCTCCATCCTAAATCTTTCTGTGCCCTTCCCACAGGCGCCCCAGTCTGCCACAAGCTTCCCGTGTCAGCTGGCTCTGCCTTTCAGGACACATAAAAACAAGTTAAAGGACATGACATTTATGCCAAAACATTTGGGAGAAGACAGAAATCTTACATTTGTCTCTGTAGCAGGAGTCAGCTGCAAATTAGCTTTAGGGAAATAAATGTAGATAGGGTGATCCTTGACACGCTGCAGCCCACAGGCTTTGTACCAAGTTTGCAGAGCCTCGAGAGAGAGGCTTGGCAGGCTCGCCTCGTCCGAATTTCTACTGACTTCTACTTTGTTTTAACTTGGCTTAGCTATAATACCAATTTTTTCTTCTAAACAGGTGGTTCTGACTAATTTTATTTTTACTTACCATTGCTTCATACAACCCTAGTTTTACAGAGATTGTACTCTGCGCAGAATAAGGTATTTGTCACTAACACACTGATGCAATATAGAGTCATAGAATCATAGTTTGGGTCAGAAGGGACCTTTAAAGGTCATCTAGTCCAACCCCCCTGCTGTGGGCAGGGACATCTTCAACTAGAGCAGGTTGCTCAGAGCCCCGTCCAGCCTGACTTTGAACGTTTCCAGGGATGGGGCATCCACCACCTCTCTGGGCAACCTGTGCCAGTGCTTCACCACCCTCAGCATAAAACATTTCTTCCTTATATCTAGTCTAAATCCAATACTTAAGCCCCCTTTAAGTACTGACAGGCTGCAATAAGGTCTCCCCGAAGCCTTCTCTTCTCCAGGCTGAACAACCCCAACTCTCTCAGCCTTTCTTCATAGCAGAGGTGTTCCATCCCCCTGATCATTTTCGTGGCCCTCCTCTGGACCCGCTCCAACAGGTCCATGTCTTTCTTATGCTGAGGGCTCCAGAGCTGGACTTTAATCACTGTCTTGTCTCAATGCCATTAATGCTGCGATAGGAAATAGTGAAGCTAGACTATAATGAACTGCCTGGGATCTAGATAGATTTGTCATATCAGTGTTCAATGTTGCAGCAGAATAATAAATGTCTAATTAGAATCCAACTTCAGTATATAGCACTTTGGTAGAGAATGCCTCTCATTGACCACTGCTTAAACACGAATGTTGAAAGAACAGATGGAAGATAAAGAAATAAGGGGAAAATGTACTTCTGTTGCCCCGACCCAGGGGCAGGACCTTGCACTTGGCCTTGTTGAACCTCATGAGGTTCACACAGGCCCACTTCTCAAGCTTGTCCAGGTCCCTCTGGATGGCATCCCGTCCCTCTGGCGTGTCGACCACACCACTCAGCTTGGTGTCATCTGCCAACTTGCTGAGGGTGCGCTCGATCCCACTGTCTATGTCATTGATGAAGATATTAAACAGTACCGGTCCCAATACGGACCCCTGCGGGACACCACTTGTCACTGATCTCCATCTGGACATTGAGCCATTGACCACTACCCTCTGGATGCGACCATCTAACCAATTCCTCACCCTTTACCGGACAGTCCACCCATCAAATCCATACCTCTCCAGTCTAGAGAGGAGGATGTGGGGGACCATGTCAAAGGCCTTACAGAGGTCCAGATAGATGACATCTGTAGCCCTTCCCGTGTCCACTGATGTAGTCACTCCATCAATATATATATTGATATATAAATAAATACAAGCCTGATATGACAACAGAGACCTTGAGAAGTGCACACAAAGGATGCTGTGTAGAGAAGTACAGTTATGGGATGATAACAGATGGGGCAGAGGCTTGGCCCTGGAGACTCCACAGCCACAAACAATTCACAAGTGGTCAAATAAAGAAATACAGTACTGAAGATGTCACCCCTGAAAACCAGTTTGTCCAGAGACCAAGTATCCAATGTATGTAAAAATGCAAGAGAGATGTAACGTGGAGCCACACAATGGAAAAAAGGGAGCATCTTGTGGTACAACTGACTTCATTACAGAGCCAGTTTTTCTTGCACAGATATGAGAGGTGAGCAGTAGGTGTTTAATGGCAATGTACTGTTATCCAGCAATCCTTCAGGAACAGAGGTCAGTTTTTCACTATTTCTTTCCTGCTGCTAGTAACAACTCACCAGAACCTACTGAAGATCACTGTGCCAAGCAACCCATCTGCCTAGCCCCTCTCACGACGTTTTTGCACAAGTATCTCCTTTACATTAGTTAAACCCACTCCCTTTAAACCACCTCCTGCTGCAGAGCGTGCACATGCCCCTTCTATGCTTCCATTATATGCAAAACACCACCAGCACAGGGATTTAGGGGAAGACTCAAGGAAACTGCCACGCTTTTCACACATGCTCCCCTGTGAAAAAATGGAGGGGCAGTAAGAGACCCCAAACACAAAGGGAGGTCTTGGTCCCAGGAGGCTGCACACTGGCATGGCAGGGAGAAACCCCACATGGCATGATACACAATCCTGGCATTTCGGTGACTGCTGCTGACGGAGATCCCCCACACCGCCAGAAGAGACGGGTCCCCAGGCCAAGTCCTGTTCCTGGCACAGGCTACCGCACACGTCAATTTGAACCACTCCTCTACTCAGTGGTCAGTTAAGTAAAATGGGTCTTAAATAAATACATCCTCTCTCTCCCTTAGACCCACGATCAACCTGCTGCATTTTTAGCTTTGAAATATTGCCTCTTTCCCATTGCTTTTGGAAGATAGATATGGCTGAAAAACACGTATTATGAGTCTTTTCAGTCCTTGAAGATTCAATTCAGTATTAAAATTCATCTTTTCTCCACAGGGTATCTTAAGTGCTTGGGAGTAATCAAGGGAAGCACAAATAGACTTTAAAGAGGCCAACAAAGTATCCTCCCGGATCAGCTGCTCCATTTCTTAGTGACCTTCCCACCAGGTCTTCTACATCAGTATTTTCAAGAAACACAGAACAGAGAGGAATGGACTCTAATACAGAAGAGGCAGCAAGACAGGCAGGACAATTCCACCACCACCACCCCCCGTCAAGGAAAATATTCAGATTATTTCCGACTTGTTCAAAAAGGAAAAAAAGTATTTCCCCAATGGAAGTAAGGTAAATAAGAACTTGGGGACTTACAGCACGTGAGAGGGCATTAAAAAAAGCTGCACAGGCCTGCACTTCCAAACACTGTCTCCATTAGCAGTACTTGCTGCTAGTTTCTGTTTGTTACCAGTTAATAGGCACTTGTCCACTACAGATTGACCCTCTTGAATGGCCAGTGTTGGGCCACTGAGAAACATAATGGGATGGTATTTCAATGTTGCTTTTATCACAAGAGCGGGTAAATATAATTTACCACCTTCTATATCCTAATGCACTGTATTGCACAAGTCATCCTCAAAACAACTGCATCAGAAGTTCCAAAAGGAGATGATTTTCCCTAGTAAAGGTCACAATAAAAAAGGGAAAAAGACACACACTCATCTGGAGCAGGGAGGCTCAGAGCACTAAGTGAGTACAGTCTCAACAAGATAAATCTCATAGAAACACAGAAGTGCTGGTCGGAAGGGAGCTCCAGACGTCTCCAGTCCAGCTTCCCACAGGACTATCACCAGCAGGTCAAGCCATGGCCTGTCTTGTTTCAAAACAAACTGGTGCACAGCCAGCCCGACAAAGAAATGCAGAGCTAGTAGGTGCCAAAAGTCAGCTCTGTAAGGAAAGTTTTGAAAATAAATTACCTCCAGGATTGTGGGGAAAAATAAAAGGTGAGGAAAGGCTCTTTAGAAACAATGCTAACACTTGCAACCACTCCATGAAAATAAAATCATTATTGCCAGGGTGCCACTTATCACAGACACTAATATTATTGATAACACCTTGGATTTGACACATCCTCTAAATGATAGAAGACTTAAAGTGTGAAATTTCCTTTGGAAGCCTACTTCTAACTTCTAAAAAACTAACTTCCTTTTCAGCTGTTGAGTTTAATTTTACTAAGACACTTTTTAAAACTCTCCCTGTGAACTGATACAGAAAAATTCTTGCTGATCCTTTAAAACAGAACAAAAACCCTTTAAGCTATCTAGTATTTGAGAGGCAGGGGAAAAAAAAATTTTAAAAAAATTTGTATCTTGGAACTTCAGGAATCTTCCTTCCTTGACAGAGCTTTATCAGAAGAGTGCAGCCTTAGACATACTCTATCAAAGTAACCTTCCCAATACCCTCAGGAGGTCACCACAGTATATATAGGACAAAGATAAAATCTTTATTTTCAAATGCTGCACTGCATAAAATTTATCTGACTGACAGCCCTACGCATGGCCACAGACCCCCTTCATCCTCCCCACTTCACTATTCAGCATAGCACAATCAGGCTACCTATGCATAAAATCATTTAGACCAGAAGAAGAAATCTACTTGCAACCCATTACTCATTTCCTTGTAAGTTAACAGTGTTCACCAGGAAAAATCACCATGAAAAAAACATTTCATTTCTGCATTCAAAGGAAGAAGAGATCAGGCACGCTACACGGGCTGGTCCCATGCGTGGAAGCTGCTGATGCTTTCAGTGCTCTTCACCTTCTTAACCTTGATAAAGAAGTACTCTTAAGACTCTCCTGCTTATGATATTGTAACTGCCTCTCCCAGAAGGCAAAACAGTGCAGAAAAAAAGAAGGCAGAGGTCCTCTGAGAATGCCATGGCCCACATGGCTTTTCATCAAGTAATCATCCTCCTGCAGTGACCATCCTTCACCGATGTCTTGCCAAGAGATACCAATTAATTTTACCAGTGATACACATGTTCTTCCCAAATGAAAAGTGTTTTCCACTTTCTGCTCCCAAGAATGTTTCAGAGAAGTCCCAAACTTCATTCTGTAGCCTAGATCTTGCTGCAAATAATATCCATGGGGAAGGCTCCATAGAGATTTTTGATAATGGTATTTTGCAGAAGTATGGTTGCCTTTCGTATTTGGAAGAAAGGAGGCATGCGGTGACGGGATGTTACACTTGTATGCTTCCGCTTTAACTTCAATGCCCGATTACAGCCAAACCCACAGGTGATGTTCACATCAACCTTTGAAGACCTTGTGTTTTAGGATCTGTATTTTCTCATGTGTGCAGCAATAGAAGCAGAAATCTCAGTGCTCCTCTTATTCTGGCCATAATAGTCCACGAAGTCACCATCTGGCCCGAGGAGGTACATTATTATTGTGTGATCCACCTGTAAGAGAGCACATCGTGACTTGGTAAAAAAGATCACAGAATCATAGAATACCAGGTCGGAAGGGGCCTCAAGGATCATCTGGTCCAGCCTTTCTTGGCAAAAGCACGGCCTAGACAAGATGGCCCAGCACCCTGTCCAGACGAATCTTACAAGTGTCCAATGTTGGCGAATCCACCACTTCCCTGGGGAGATTATTCCAATGGATGATTGTTCTCATCATAAAAAATTTTCCTCTTGCGTCCAATCATAATCTCCCCAGGAGTAACTTGTACCCATTACCCCCCATCTTTTCCATGTGACTCCTTATAAAACGGGAGTCTCCATCTTCTTTGTAGCCACCCTTTAAATACTGGACCATCCTGCACATCTCTCAAAGTCAGCAGCAAGAGCATCCCGTTCAGCCTTTGGCTCAGCTGTCTGACAAGACTTCTCACCAAGAAGCTAAAGCAAGATAAGGAAAACCTCAGCATCACCTCAGCAACCTCTTCTTGTTTTATCCAAGAAAATAAATAGAGAAAACTAGTTGCATACTCAGAACGTGTGAAGGAGTATTTAAAGCAGACAAGTCTTCCCTAAGCTGCTGGCACCCTTCCTGCAGCACAGACAAGGCTGGGGCAAACCTGCGGGCTAATGGTCTTTCCCCCTCACTTTTCCCAGTTTCCCTGTACTTCTCATGATGCCTCACGACCCCCACAAGGTATTCAAGCTCATGCTGCTAATATGATGTAAATCCGATATAAACAGAGGTATTTCATTAAACCAAGTTCACTGTCAGTGCAAATGGGACCAAGAGCATCACTGGGACACGGGAGCTGCAGATAGAGGAGCTGGCAGATAGAGGAGCTGGCACAGAGGGAAATACGTGTGCTGGGAGGGAGCTCCCTCTGCTGTCCAAATTGAAATAACCTTAAACAATGTTCAAACAATTACTTGAACATTCAAGGTATTCCAATTTGATTTATATAAAAATTAACTCCACTGTAAGTTTATTTAAAATGCCACTGCGAGTACTGTCTGCATCTAACTGTGACAACATCTTTATGAGCAAACACAAAATACTGAAAATGGAGGTGATGAATCTGTGATTGCTCAAGTGACTATATCATCTCACTGCCACTAGAGAAAAAGAACTGAAATGTATTTATGCACTGAGAGTACAACTGTGTTTGAAATTAAGAAATCACATAAACATTTCCAGTACCACAAGCTAAAAGGATGCATTAAACTTAATGGCATTTCTGTCATTGAAAGAATGTTGTCAAAATTTTATTGAAGTGAGTTTAATTCAAATATTTTACTCTAGTTTCAAATTTTCAAGATAAGATCACAAAATCAAGTTGTAGGATTCCTTTTTTTAAGGAATCTGAATCACAATTTAGATCCTTCAACTGGAAACTAGGAAAAAAAAAAAAAGAAAAAGAAAAAAAACAAACCAGGTAGCCTGCTCAGAGCATCTTAACTCCCCAGCCTGTGAAAGATTAAATACAGTCAGGATGGAGTGCAGTTTGTGTGCAAAAGGCCACTGTTTTTCAAGCTGTGCCTGAAGCCTGCACTGTTGCCACTGTATGCACATAAGATCATCATTTGAGTTTCAATGCAATCTTGTAAACCACAGAATAAAACAAGTAAATTGGATATTCTGGCAGGGAGAATTATAAAATTGAGATTATTAAATAGGAACTAGTAATACTTGAAAAATTCAAACTTGAAAAATTCAAACAGATGTTTAGAAATTATAATTTCTAAATGCTCATCTCAATGTTCTTTTCAAGTCAAAACAAGCATCAAAGTTTAACTGGCTGCAGTGGACCTTTTCCTCTTCCCCACCTCCCAGCAGCCTGCAGAGGAAACAGAACCTGCTCCTGCACAAACATCAGTCTTAATCACCAACTGGCACGACAGGTCCATGCAAGACATAAAGAGGAAAAAAAACCCTTACTGGAAGAAGTGACAGAGTAGTAATTACCTGCATAAGTCTCAAGTAGGCACAAAACCAGCCTCAAGCTCTCCATCCCAGGTCTGCTGTTGCTGCTAGCCTCCTTCCATTTTGTTCCAGAGACCTGTGTCCTCTGGCCTTCCTGCCCTGAACACCGAGAGCTCACTGCCTCTCAAAACCAAGAGCCTATGACAAATCCTGAAGAGATGCAGGTATGCTCTTCCTCCTTGGCACCACATCGGGGGCTCCCAGGCTGCTCTCCTGCTCCCAGTTCACTGGCCTTTCTTCCTCACTGCCCCTCCCTTCTCTCAGACTCACAACCCTAGCACAGGCCAGCGGTATTGTCCCTGGATCCCTTCTCCTACTTCATTACATCTGTAGTTACATTCTCCAGCTCAGTTTCACCCTCCAGCCTTCATTGAAGGTGCTGTCATCTACAGTTATTTTCCTTGGCCGAACCCCTGTACTTTCCCTTCACAGCCATGCCAGAATCCAGGTGTGGTTTGCTAGCATCCACGTGTGGTTTACTTCATAAGGAGCAGCAGTCCTTCAGCTTTTCTGGCCTCTTTCCACCATCTCTCCTCAACTCCAGTTCACTCATTTAGTGTCAGATTCCACGATTTTTTTTCCCCTCTCCTGAGCAGGCATCCTTTGCCAATCCTGTTCCTATAACCTATTCTTGCATTTCCACCAGCCCCCTTTCATACATCTGATTTTAAGCAGTATCTTTAGATCAATTTCAGATTGACGCTAGATTAATTTAAATTGGTGTTGAATGTCTCCAGGAAGCTTCTCTCCTCCATTCAAATATAGTATCTTAGACTTCTGTAGCTATTGAGTTGCCACTTTAAGCGAAAAAGAGTTCTTGATCTCCCACTTCACACCCCTTTTAGTAACGTAGAGCAGTGCACATCACCAGTGTGATTCCATCTTCTCTTTACTGAGATCACGTGCTGCTCCTGCCGTTTCTTTCTAAGCACCACTTTTTTGTTCCACCAATCTTTTTGTCCATGTGGATAATTTATTTGCTGCAGTCAGGTGTTTTTTAAAAACAGATTAAGAATAGACAATACTGGATTAGACCAAAACCAATCTGCCTCAGCATCCTACCTCAAATAGTGGCCAACAATGGTTGCTTTAAAGAAGAGTATAGAACCAGCTCCAAAAATATGCTGTCTTCCTCTGTTAGCTCCCAGTTTCCAAACATTTTTAGCTCACAGGCTTCCTGAACTAGGTAAGATTTCTGTGCATTTCATAATCCTCAACAGATTGTTTTTTCCAAAGACTAACAAGTCTCCCTGTGGACTCCCATAAACTTCTACCATTTGCATCTGTAGTGAGGGATTCCACTTTTCATGTGCCCATTGCAACAAGAACTATCACCATTCCTTTTGAACCTGTTTTTAGTTTTCTCTGATGCCCTTAGTTCTTGTAATGAAGAAAAAAAAATGAAGATCATACAACGTGTATCCTCACTTGTCATATGACTTGTACCTACTTTACTCTTCCAGTCTGCTCAGGATGTGGCAAGTCAGGAAGGCCTTGGCAGCAGCTCTGAGCCCTATAACCAGTCCTATTCAATTCCAGAGAGTAAGATTTGACTACTCAGTTTATCCTCACTTAAACCTCAGTTTCCCCCTTCACACTATTACTCTACGTATTTTATTCCCCCTTAATTTAGCATTAACATGCTCTCTCTTCCAGGTCATTGGACACAGGAGGAAGATCCCCATAGTATCTGCAGGCAGACCTTGCATCATCCAAGTCTCTTGCCAGGAAGACCCTGCTCTTTGGTGTCAGTTTGGCAGGGAATGAGTTGTTACTCACTTTTACCTCTCATTTCTCCCTCTTCCTATTACCTTAATTCCCAGTTCCATTTTCACTTCGGAGCACATAGGAAAACAGCCAGACAGAAACATTACACAACAGAAAAAAGTTCAAATTACTGCCAGGCTTGCCAGCTCATATGCTATTCTGTATGCAGGCCTGGGATTGCACATTTTTAGAACATGTTTCAGTGAGGTTCTGAGTTTGTAAGAGGGCACCTTGATTCTGACTGAGACCTCTAAAACACAGCTTAACACATCGGTGCAACAGGGCTCTGTCATGCAGGACTTCAGCATAGATTGCAACAGCTGCCTTCCGATTTTAAAATCTATATGCTGCTCTTATCCAAAGTCTTTCATCAAGCAAAGGCCCTACATTTACTTACTATGTAATCATTGTCTTCATCTTTGGGACCTTCGCTATAATACACGCGGTAAGCTTTGGCCACTTGGTCAATCTGTGCCTTGGTACCAGTCAATCCGATCAGCTTCGGAGAAAATTCTAGATAGAAAGACGACATTTAGACATTTTAGTGAAAAGAATCCCATCAGAGTCTCCTTTTCAGTGCTCTATATTACATGCTATATGACATCGAGGAAGAAAACAGTAATACCTTTAACATATCTGGCAACAGCTTCTTCGTTGTCCCTCTCAGGATCAATGGTGATGAAGAGTGGGGTCAGATTAGGCAAAGATGGAATTCTATCTGTGACATTAATAATTATTATTTTTCTTAGAAAACTAAAAATCATTTCTCACCTCCCTTCAAACAAGCTCACAGCCAAGCTACCGTAACATCAACCCAAGCCCACCCTAAGTGACAAAAAAGGCCTTTTTGTGCAGCTTAATTTATGTAATTTGTGAATGAAGCAAACGCCACGAAATCCAACGCTCTCTGCTTGCGCTGGGTGCAGCTACACTTCCAGCCTCTCAGCTGGAGACCCTGCCCTCCTTAGGAGAGATGACAAATTGGCTCCGATGCAGAAAATGCCATGGCATGGGCATGATGCATGTATCAAAGCACAATGGTCGATACAACGAAAGTACGCCTGTGATGGTGGGGCGGGAGGATAGGTGAAGACACAATTCAGGCTCTTTTTCAGCCGTAGCCATAATTCTATTTTCTTCACTTTAGTCCACCCTCCCACTTGCTTGGTTACTATTATCCCTGCACCGTAACTCTTCAGGGCCTGCAGGCTGAGAAAACCACCTCTATCACACAGCCTTCCCCCAACCTCCACTCCACAGCACAGTCACTCTCAGAAGAGACTCTCACAGAGATTTGTCCTCAGAATGAATAAGATAAAAGGAAAAAAAACCCTAATACACCCCACGACCACTTCTTGGCAAAAATACAATGCAATGGCACCATTCCCTGTAACCTGCCACCATCATGTTTTATTACCAAGTCCCCTGCTGCGGAAAGATCAGTGCTGTCATGCTCTAAGTAGCAGATCCTAGCAGTAGGCAGATTGATGTATGTATCACTTAGCAATTAATTCAACTACTGAATAATAGTCAACAGCATTTTCTAAAAAAGATCATCAGTTATTACCATTTGTGATATTTTACCACAATAAACCTGGGCATCCCATAAAAGAGACCACTACGCCAACCAAATTCCCGTACCAATTTCATCTACCACTTCAATCATTTTCTCCAGTTCATCAGGACAGATGTCAGGGCAGTGTGTGAAGCCGAAGTAGATCAGCACCCACTGGCCAATGTAGTCCTTGCTGGTCTTGGGCTGTCCCTCATGGCTGACGAGTGAGAAGGGCCCTCCGAGCAGCGGTTTCCCAATGCCTCGGTTTCGTTCCTTCTCCAGCTCTACAAAAAACAAGAGGGTATCAAACGCACCCATGCCACAATCCACGCTGCTTCCCGGGCGAGCCTCAGAAGCAGTCGAGAGTCAGGCAACCTCGCAGAGTCACAGCCTAGGGTGTTGAAACATCAAGATCTACCAACGCCCATCGTGGACAAGACTTCCAAAAAGCATTCCATTTTGGGCAAAATCAAATATATCACTAAACTCCTTTGAAACATAATAATCTCTTTCATTGTAATCCGATTTTATTTTTATTTAAAAAAAAGAGAAAGGAAAAAAAGGAGAAAGACAGGTGCATGGCTTGGTGTGAAACAGAAAAATTAGCATCCTTTGCAAATTGAACATATCCTAAAAACTGTAACATCTCTGATTTTCAACATTAAAAGGTGAAAATGAAACACGTAGGCATTTACTGTAGGACAGGGAAAGGCACGCATATGCTACACAGAGAAAAACCAACGTGCACAGAAAACCCCACTTCCGTGTCTGTGCTGCACTGACTGGCAGCAGCGTGCATAATCAAATGCAACTATTCCGACAGCAAAGGCATATTTAAGAATTTTAAAACGCTTAACCTTGAAGTTTTTTTGAATTTTTGAAAATTTTCTGTGGCACTTACACACACACAGGCACGACGTGGCACTGTGCGAAGCATGACGTGATTCAGCGGGATGCCGAAGTGGGCAATATACATCTGAACACAAAAAGTACATCATCTGAACACAAAACACGACACTCCTGCTGGCCCTCCCGCCCGGCCGCACGCTGGCAGCCCAGGCCGGGTCCCGCCGAGGCAGCGCGGCCTCCCCAGAGGCGGGGCAGGGCCCGGCCCCACCGGCCCCCACC